CACTCGAGCTCACCTGTGGGAAGATGCCAGAAGACAGGTAGCAGGAATGCAGTGAGAGTGAGCAAGGAGTAACTGGGGTCCACCCGGCAGAGAGGTGACAGTGGTCTTCTTGAAGGCAGACAGGGTAGGTATGACGCTAGGTGGGAAGACACAGCAGAGAGGAGACCCCAGGATCAAGGGAAGGGACCAGCAGAAAGGGGTGAAGGCTGGTGGGCAGGCTCCTGGCATGGACGGGGGTGATTGGGGCGGCCAGGCCATACAATGTGGAAGACTGAGGGGGTAGTGTTTGCTCAGCACGTTATCCTTTCTGCTTTGGAGACCATGACTTTCAATCATCGGCAGCCTAACGAAAAATGAAACTTTTTCTTCTTCTTTTCCTGTGTGTGCCATGTGGGCTGTGTTCCATGGTCGCCCGCATGGGGCAGAGTCAGCTACGCTCCACAGGGTTTCCCATGACTCGGTGTGTTTGGGGTTTTTGGGAAGTAGATGGTCAGGCCTTTCTTCCGCAGTGCCTCTGGCGGGACTCGAACCCCCAGCTCTGTCAGTTGACAGTTGGATCTGTAAGGGCCAGGAAATAAAATGGGGTGGAGATGCAGGTGTCAGTCGAGACAGTGAATGGACCCAGGAGGAGGGCCAATAAAGAGAGGAGGCAGGACAAACCCTGAGGATCACTAGCATGTCAGAGACAGGCTGCAGGAGAGCCTGCCAAGGCGACTGAGCAGCAGCAGTTGGGGGCAGGGAGTAAGAGACACCGGGCATTGTGGGAAAGTCTCCCCGGGGTCCAGCACAGTGCCCGGTGTGTAGCGGGTGCTGTCGGAGGGGTGAGGGTTGCCCATCCCTTGCGCACAAACTGCCAGGCAGAGCATTTCTTTGCCCTTCCCAGCTCAGGCCTTGCCCCGAGGTGGGGGGTTTCCTGCGTCCTGGACTCCACGCAGGATTGCACCACACAGGACTGCACCCCTCAAAACGAGCCCCTCGGTGGCAAATGCTCAGAGGTGGGCCTGGCTGTCTTCCGGCCCCGCCCCCTCAAGGTGCAGCCTCTGGCAAACCTAGACCAGGCCTCCTCCGCCTGGGCTAGCAGTGGCCCAGCGTGCCACGTGCCCAGGGAATGTTGGCTCTCTGAGCGCTCCCCATCAAGAGGAGAGTCGGGAAAGTGCAGGTCAGTCAGGGGCCAGGGAGAGGAGGGAACAGAGAGCACAGGGAACAAGGGGGCTGAGGCTGGGGTGGTGGGCGAGGAAGGACACGGTGGTCCCTGTCTCCCTCACCTCCCAAGAAGCCTCCTCGTGTTCCTGCTCACTCTCCAGCCGCTCCTCGCACGTGACCTTCACCCCTTCCCCCTCAGGGCTGGGCTTCTCCAGAGTTTGCCTGGACAACCAGGAATCAGGAACCCATGTGGGTGGGGTGGCCTGGAGCAGTGACAACGGGCAGAGTGATGGGAAAATGGTCTCACAGAGACAGGAAAGCCCTCAGACCACACCTCTGGGGGGCAGGGTGGGCAGGGAGAGGGAAGCCCTTTTTAGCTCTGTGGGGGTGGCAGAAGAGTCTGCAGCCACTCCCGGCTTCCCTGACCCTTCCTGCCAGCCCCTCTGGGGTCCTTGACCACAGAGAGCCCAGTCCTTAGCAGTTCCCTCCGCCAAGAGCCCTGGCCACAGCCAGGCACTGCCAGGGCTGAAGGCTCCATCCCAGGAGGTGTGGCGGGGAGATGGTGTCTCGTCTGCATTCACCACCCCCAACTTTTGTCCCCTGTCCCTTCCTTATTCCCGAAAGTCAAGAGCTGGCAGAGCTCTACAGAACCGGCAATAGGAGAGGCAGCCATTCAACCAACAAGGACTGACCGTCAAATCCCATTCAATACTAGATAGTAGGGGCATCGTCAAGCACTTGGGATCCTTCACCCAACGTAGCGTCCTCATTCCCTGGATAGCCTGGACCAAACCTCAGATTACGCCTGCCCAGCAGGCAAAGACCAGTGGCTCCAGCAGAGCCCAACACACCTGTGGTGGTCACCTAATCTGATGTCAGTGTAAGGGTTAAGAGTGTAGGGGTGGAGTCTAGGCTGTCAATCTGGAGATAGCCAATGAGACTTCTGTGTGGCATGACCTTCTGAGAATTCTGGGAAATCTGGGAATTCCTTCTTGGAGACAGGAGACACTCCCTTTCTCTGCCATTCCCGGGAGACATTGCAACAGACAAGCCACATGGACCCAACCAGACCTCGGAAGCTGGAGAAGCCACAGAGAGACCCCTACCAGCACTGAGATGCTTACAATGAAACTGAATCCAAAGACTTTCTACCCACCCACTGGCCTGTGATCTTCTATATTCAACACCATTGCATGTGTTTCGTGAGTCTGAAGAGGACTTTATAGATTGATATAGGAAATATGAGCTAATATCGGACTTATGCACTTGATCTTGGCTGAGATGTTTTCTCAATGTCCTATTGCTCTTGTATATAAATCTCCTTCTTATACACATATGTGTGTCCATGGATTTGTTTCTCTAATCTACCCAGACTAACACAACACCTCACGGCTGTTTGTTGAGTGGAACTCACTGTGCGCTGCAGCACGTGGAAAGTCTCTCCTGGAGGGTGGGAGGCCCAGGAAAGGGCACACACATCATCTGACATGGAGCTAACTAAGCACCCTTCAGAACAGACCCAGCACTGGGGTCCCCAGATCCCTGCTGCTGACAGTGTTGTCCTTTGTCCTGGGAACTGTCTGTCTGCAGCCCCAGGCCAAGCAGACAGAGTCAGAGAGTCACAAATAGCAAATGACATAATTCACACTTCTCTGTCAAGCGCAGAGCATGGTGGCATGCTGGCCTTTGCTGAGGGCGTTCCCGCCCCTCCCCCTGCCCCCCAACTTCCTACATCTACATGGGTGGAGGAGGGAAGTGATGTCTAGCATGTGCTGGGTCCAGCAGTTGGGGGCGAGCGTCTCAGTTGTCTACTGTTGGGATTGAAGAAATGCTGTGAGTGGGTGGGATGGCTTTACCGAACCAAGAGGAATTTATTTTCTCAAGTTTAGGAGGCTCAAGTCTGACCTTAGAGTCTGGGCACTCAGGAAGGCTTTCTCTCCCTATTGGTTCTGGGGGAAGGTCCTTATTCCCTGATCCCTTGGGGGTCCTCTCTTGGCATAGCATCTCTGCTTCCTTCTCTGCCCCAATTTGTTCTTTGTAATACCTCAGAGGTGATTAACTTGAGACATACCCTACACAAACACTGCCTCATGAAAACAAAAATAAAACAAAATCATGATGCCGACTGATAGCGACCCTGTAGGGCAGTGGTTCTCAACCTTCCAGTCCCTCATGTGGTAGTGACCCCCCAACCATCACATTATTTTCGTTGCTACTTCATCACTGTCATTTTGCTACTGTTATGAATCGGGCAACCCCTGTGAAAGGGTCGTTTGACCCCCAGGTTGAGAACCGCTGCTATAAGGGAAGGTAGAACTGCCCTGTGGGTTTCTGAGATTGTCCTTCTTTAGAGGAGTAGAAAGCCTCATCTTTCTCCCAAACCGCAGCTGCTGGTTTCGAACTGCCGACCTTGTGGTTAGCAGCCACACAACTCATTCTCAGATGGGATTATACCCATGGGTTTAGGATTTGCAACACCTATTTAGGCATTTGGGAGGGGGCACAATTCAATCCATAACAGGAAGGGAGAGCAGGAATGAAGGGGAAATAAAGCTGAAATAAAGTTTTCCAAGTGTTGGCAGTTACTGAAATACAATGGTGGGTAGATGTCGGGCCATTCGACGGTGCTGTTTTGTGTATATTTGACACTTTCCGTAATAGAAATGTTTCTAAAAGTTCCTATGCATCCTGAAAACGCCGGATCAAGTCCCACCTTGTCCAGGACACTTGCCTGACTACTTCCTACCCACCCATTGATAGGGCCGCTCACAGCACAACCTGCATGATCTAAGGTAGCATCATTAGATACTATAACCGGATATTATGTACTTTTTATATCATGAGCTTCCCATTGCCTAGCTAATTCCATGGCAGAAAAGAGGGGACGGGAAAGAAGCACAACATTTCTTGCAGGCCCGCTATGTGCCGGGAACTGACCATGTCTTTCTCATATGGGAGGATGGCTTCAAAAACTGTGGGGGGAGTGGGAATTGAAAGGTAATGGGAGCTTCCCACCAACTGTGTGAAGGCCCCTCACGGGGACTGTGTCTGAGGAGGCTTCTCCAGCAGAAGGTCAAGCTGATTGTGGGTCTCTGTTAGGCACGGAGAAGATGGGCTTACGTGACAACTGCTCGGTGAAAGGGAACCAGGACACAGGTCCCGGTGCTGCTGTGATCTTAGCGCTATAAAGTGGTTGGACATAGAGATCTGGGATTATCTATCCACCTGACTAGCCATCTATCGATGCCTATTTCGGGATTAGAGTTCTTTCCTCATTTTCGCATTTTCAGAATGTCATTTAATATGATTGCACATGGCAGGCATCAGCGACTTTACAGAGAGGAGATATTTGGGGCTCTGTGGGCCATACGGGCTCTGTTGCAGCTGCTCGGCATTGTTCGCGTGGTGTGAAATCAGCCTGAGAGACAATGACTGCATAAATGCATGAGGCCGGCTATGTTCCAAAAAAGTCTTTATTTGCAGAAACAGGCAGCTGGCTGGCGATGGCCCAAGGGCCATCATTTGCCAACTCCTGCATATCATTTTATAATCAGAAAAAAAAAAAAAGTATGTTACGTGTGCACTCTCTGGCTAGAACTGCTTGATCTGGGTACTGTGATGACTAGGCTGCGGTACAGAGCCTTGGTGCTGCCATTCGAATATCACAAAGCAGTCAGAACCAACAGTCACAACCAGGGGCCATGAGACGAAAAAGGCCATGCCTGCATCAAACCGAAGCGTCCACCACCCAGTAATGAAAGCACATTTCATTTCTTTTCTTTTTACAGCCTGGTTTAAGATGAACAGGAAAAGTTAAACTTCCTCTTTTTGTGGCTGTTCTGTTTCCGCCCTTTCAGATTTTCCGAAGCGAAGACCCTGGGCGAAAGCGTAAATGAAGCAAGAAGTAAAATCGGTGAGTGGATAGTCTACGTGCTTCCTTCACTGACCCTCTTCCTGGTGAAAGTCAGGTCACCCTGTGACTGCGAATGTCCACGATGGCCTCACCGCCCAACGGGAAAAGCCCTTTCTCTGGCCTAGAACTGGTTTCACCTCCCTCAGGCCTGAGTTCTAGCATCCCAGTGAGAAAGCTCTCTGTTCCCCGGGGTCTCCCCACAAGAGCTCAACGAGTCTCACCCACATCTTCAAGGGCTGTGGAACACGCTTGCACTCCCCTTGCTGGCACAGGCAGGCAGCTCTTAGAGCTTGCTGTCAGCCGAGGGCCAGGAGCCATCAGGGGCAGGCTGATGCTGAGCAGGGGGTCCCCGGCAAGGTGAGCATCTGCACAAAGGTGAGGTAAGGAAGAGGCAAACTCAACTAAAAAACAGGAGGTATGTTAGTCTGAATTCATTGAGCAAATTCATTGGCACTCATCTGTGTGTAAGAGAGAACTTTATATCAAATAGCAATTATATAGGAAACATCCCAGCCCCATTCAGATCAAGTCCTTAAGTCCAATATTAGCCCATATGTACAATGCTAGTCCACAAATTCCTCCTTAGACTCACGCAGCCATGCGATGATGATGAATGCAGGAAGATCACAGGCCAGTGGTAGGAAAGTCTTGTAGATCCAGTGGCAGTGGAAGCATCTCAGCATTGGTGTGGGTCTCCACGTGGCTCCTCCAGCTCCAGGGTTCTGGCTCCATCAGTGTGTCTCCATGTGGCTTGTCAACAGGAATTTGCAGCAGAGAGTGTGTGTCCTGCCTCTAAGGAGGAAGACAGGAGTTCCCAGAATCCTCAAAAGGCCATGCCCACACAGAGGCCTGATTGGCTTTGACTTGATTGACAGGCTAGACTCCACCCCTTCACTCAAGTTGGCAGGAGGTTATGTAACTGCCACGGGAGGTATCCTATCCTCTTCATAGAGAGAGGAAAAGGTTTATTTCTCCCCAAAATTGAAGACACAGCAGAGACTTGTCTGCCAGGAGGGATAATTGTATCCATGGGAGCCCAGGGTCCCTCACCATTGTGCTGTTCTCGGCTGACTCCACCTCCCTTCCCCAGCAGTGAGGGCAGAACAGATGCCTCAAGGAACATCCCCTGTGGCCTTCCCCCACAAAAAATATGCAAAGTTGCCCAGCTTATGCCAATGTGGGAAACAAGAGCCCCCTGGGGCATCTGGGGCCAGCAGCATCCTTGAGAGGCCTGGGCTGAGGTATGGGGCCCTGGGCCACACCCAGCACCCCAGTGAGAAGCTTGAGCCTTGGGGGTCCTTAACCTGAAGTCCAGAATCTCAGAAAGAGGGAAAATACATCTTTGTTTCACTAACTTCTCCCAAAATAATAGCATCCCCATCAGTGATGAACACAGACAGCGCGTCACTAGAATTAGCAGCCCTGGTGGTGCCATGTGTTAAGCATTGGTCCGAGCTGCAAACTCACCAGCTGCTCCGAGAGAGGAAGATGAGGTTTTCAGCCCCCATGAAGATTTGCAACCTTGAAAGCCCCAGGGAGCAGTTCTACTTGGCCCTTGTGGGGTCCCTATGCGTCAGAATGGACTTTCAGGCAGTGGGTTTGGGTCACCGATGGGTAATCACGTGGTCATTTCTCATCACACTGTGGCTGGCCTCGTAAAACTGTGTAAAGGCTCGTGGCGATTTCAAAATGACCGCCGGAAGCCTCTCCCCCCTTAGACCTTCTTATAGCATGCGTTTGCCGGACAGCCCATTGCGTCTTCTGCATTACAAACGTGTCTCTAGATGTGGATACCAATTTCCGTGTCATTGGCTTCTTTTGAAAAGCGTGTGCATCTTACCACTTCTGTCTGCCCCTGTGAAGACTGCCAGTCTCGGGAACCCTAGGTCGGATGGCCAGCAGTCAGAATGGCCTCAATGACAGAGGGGCGGTGAGGTTTGGTTTGGGTACTTTGTGTGCCTCTAAACCCCTGATTCCGAAAGGGGGCCTGTGGCTGCATCTGGGTGTCAGTGGGGCTCCTGGAACAAGAAAAGGTAGCAAACTTCTTCCTTGGCTTGGGTTCCCAACCCCCCTAAAAGTGTGTGTGTGTGTGTGTGTGTGTGTGTGTGTGTGTGTTGGGAGTGGGGGGGGGTGAGGAAGAGGGATATAAGCATATGCATTTTTTCATCTGATAATACCCATAGCTTAACCACTTCTTGAAGGGGTTAAAGACATCCAAACATAGGAGGAAATTGCATCACCCCCACAAGCAGTACCAGGAAAACAGACTACCGACTGAGAGGCAGCCCACTTACAGAGGGCAGCGCAGTAGGACCCCCGACAGGTGGAGCAGAGACGCAGGCTACATGGTTCCCGTGGGTCCCGAATATTACTGGTCAGCCAGCTTCAAGAGACCCAAGGACTTATTTTCATGGGGGGGGCGCAAGGGGGGCAATAAAGATGAAAAAACCTTTTTGAAATACAACTCTCCCCCAAATTAATATACAGCTTGCCTCATTGAACTCTGTAGGCCAAAATATGGCTGTCCTTAGAAAGCATCCATCAACTCTACTAAGATATCTAAGTCTCCACTCGACATACAATGGGTTCTTGTCACACACATACACACACACAAGGGATAAATGCCGCATTATTTTTGGTGAAATGACCTGTGTTGATGCATGCATCTGCCACCTTCTGGAGATTAAGGAGAGTTGGAGACCTACTGCACAAGTTGTGCACTGGCCAAGAGAACAGGGGGCTGGGGGTATGAGGGCTGCGGCGGACCTGCCCCCAGAGGATGTCTGTTTGCAGAGTCCCGCAATGCCAGCGGAAACCTTGGGCACAGGAGCCTTTGTTGTGTTCCCTTATAGCAAGCAGAGTTCCCCATGGTACCGGGAGTCCGGCTTATGTGGCCCCGAGGAGAATAAAACAGCTAGTGCAGTGATGTTGATAAAGTCATTATTATGCTTTACTTTATGTTACTGACTCAGGTCCAGGTGAGGGGGTCTCAGGGACTCTCACGCCACTACTAGACAAGCCCCTGGTGGTCTTGACCCAGTGCCCTCCCTCGCTGTGTCTCGGGAGGCCAGGTGAATATGAAGGGTGGCTGTGAGTCGGAATCCACTCAATGGCTGTGCGTTTGGTTTGATTTTCTAGAAGGTGGAACCTGTACACGTAGTCCAGGTTTCCCAGACTCCCTTGCAGGAGACTTGTTTCAGGTGATCTGTTGCAAGACTGAGTGTGTTTTCCCCTCGGGAGAAATGAAATCAAGGGGAGTTTGCAGTCAACGCAGACGCAGTCTAGACTCGGGAGGTGGGGCCACAGCACCAACAGCATGGCCCATGGGACATGGTGACTCAGCTCCACCCCGAAAGCCACCCCCCCACATCCTGTCTCAGTACCCCAGGGCCAAAGGAGGGCATCTTACGAAGTGCACGAGTCCTGGAGCCTACAGAGAGGAAACAAGAGCTGCAGTTGGAGTTACGGCTCACGGGCTCACATGTTTCATGTTCAGGTTGACACTCTGTTCAGCTCATTTTGTCTTTCAGTGGCATTGGGATCCCGAGGTGGCCCCTGGAGTTTCATCTTCAAAAATCACTGAAGGCTGTCAATTCAACAGTGGCCACTGAGTCCCTAATGTGTACATCCGTCTGAGCTCCCACATGACTTCCTCTTCTTGGAAGCAGTTAACCCAAACTAGGGAGAGGTACTCTTGCCACTAGCCCCTTTTTTTGCCTCTCTTTACATGTGGTCAGCACACATGCTCCACTGACTGAAGTCCACCTCAGAAGAAAGGCCAGGCAACCGACTTCCAAAGGATCACAGCCCTGGAAATCCCTGCAGAGGGCAGAGTCCTCTGACACAGGTGGGGCCACCACCCGTCAGAAGCTACTCAGAGGCAGCTGGGATTTTGGTTTCAGACACCACTGATAACAATGCCGATGGAAAAGACCAAGCTGACATCAGAAATGGGAGGAGCTGCCTATTGAGAGTCTCCCTGCAATCAGTCTTTGTTTCCATAGGAGGGCCAGTGTATCTGCCCATCCCATACACCAGGGCACTAGGCTTCCTTCTGGTGCATGGGCTGTGTTTTGAACACATTCACACATGTCCAAGGTCCATTTGTCGCATCTCTAAGATTGCCGTTGACCTCACACTGTGGGGAAAGGAGTGGACTATTTTGGAGGCAGCAGCATACCCTAGGCCACTCTTTTCACCTCTCGGAAGGCTGGCATTAGATTTTCTACATCCATGTTCTGCCAATGGTGCCATCGCCAATGACAACGAAGGGCACCTGCTGGCTGTCCGTTGGAATAGGGAGGGCCCACGCCCAGACCAGGCCAAGGACCAGTTATTTTGGAGGCAAACCAAAGAGTTTGGCTGAGGCCTCTGGGCGACTCTTCATCCTTCTACAGCCCTCTGCCCCCAGGCCTAAATGAAGACGGGGGTGACAGGCTGCTGCACAGGATGGTTTTCACTAGTGAGCCACTCAGTGATCTATTCGCAGGTCATAAGGATGGTCATCGAGGTTAGTGACAAGCAAGCAAAGAAGAAGAAAAAAACACCCCTCTGGAAGTTCTTTTTCTCCTACTCAAAACCAGAAGACTCCATCCCATCCTTCGAACAATGCCCTTTTAGAACAATGTCTTCTCTTATACATTTGGGAAAATCATTCCTCAGGCCTAAGTCTTCATCAGTCAATAAATGGGACTCTTTGCCTGTGTGTTTGTCTGACTGACTAGAGAAACAAAATTTATAGACACTTATGTGTATAAGAGCTTTATATACAAGAGCAATTGAATATTGAGAAAACGCCCAGCCCAGTCCAGATCAAGTCCATAAGTCCAATATTAGCCCATATGTCTGATACCAATCTATAAAGTCTTCTTCAGATTCATGAAACACATGCAATGACGCCGAATGCTGGAAGATCACAGGCCAATGGGTGTGAGGTCTTGTGGGTCCAGTGGCGGTGTAAGCATCTCAGCACTGGCAGGGGTCTCCATGTGGCTCCTCCA